CCTGTCAATTATAGTGTGTCTTTTGTTTTGACATGATTGACCATGTGGGATCAAGTTTGAGAATCACAATTGAATAGAATTATTGGACTATTGGGTTTCTCTCTTACTAGAGAGAACCTGCCTTGAATAAAACGTGTGTCTCATTTTCACATACATAGCTTTCGACATATTTGGTTTTGCATAGATTGAATTTTCAAGAGAAAGCTCCTACGCATATTTTTCAAATAAGTCATCAAATTTGTAGAAAGCATCGTCATTGCATGAAATGAGGAGTGTCTATATATGAGTTGATCAGGAACTTAATAACCATACCAATGGGCAACACGTATGTATAGCCTCAATACTCCCTAATTCAACTTACAATGATCTAGGCAGACCCAAATTGGAAATATTTTATTCATCCAAATCGAAAAAGAAATACAATTAATAAGTTCTTCATCTTCAAATCCAATCCAACAAACAAAATTAATAAGTTGGATAAACTATTTCAAGTGGCCAACAGAAAACAATGGAATTAAAACAAAGATGGAAGGAGGGAGAGAGAAAAGCAAACCTGATATTACAGATCGGTAAGTTGAATTAGGAAGTGTTAGAATTGCTTCAGACCAAGGCTACATACGTGGGTGCTCAGCAGTAGTTCAACCAAAGACTACAAATGTGCATGCGAATCCAATTTTTGTGTGTAGTTTTGCTTTTTAGGTTTATGTTGGTTTTAATTCGTAAGGGTATTTGTGTCTATTTATATGGGTTTTTGGCAATATTTAAAAGATTTTTTAAAAATTGACATTTTTTAAAGTGGGGGGTAAATTTTGGCTATTTTTAATAAATTCTCCCTAGCCACGAAGCAGACATCTCAGAAGGCAAACCAAGCGTCGGTTGTCGTTGTTGCTGATTTTGGCGGGTGAGAGTTGAGAGAGAGCGCGAGAAATCAATGGGTATAAGGGAAGCAGAGGAGGAAGGGCCTATTTTCAGGGATATAAGGCGATATTATTGTGAGTACTGTGGCATCTGCAGGTCCAAAAAGACCCTGATTGCTTCTCACATGCTCACTCACCACAAGGTTTCAGTCCATTCTTTTTAATTCTGGTTTTTTATTGTCCAATTATGAATTTTTATAAATTGGGTTTTCGAATTTGAGGGATTTACTGTTGTGGGTTCATTTGGTTTTTGTATTTTAAACAAAATCTGAAGCTGGGTTGTCTTCAGATTGATTATCTTAAATTTTTACTTATGATTTGGTTATTTTTGCTACAGGAAGAGATGGAAATGGCCAAAGAGGCTGATGGGGAAGGAGAGAGGGAAAAACCCAATACTTGCCAAGAATGTGGTGCTACTTTTAAAAAACCTGCATATCTCAAGCAACACATGCAAAGCCATTCCCTTGAGGTATTATTTGCTATTAACTTCAAATTGTTAATAAACCTTCACATGTTTCCATAGTATTGGTGTTTGAAGTTGTGTTAAGGAAACCAGCGGCAGCTTGTATAGTACTCGTCTGATGATATTGCTACTGATTAGTTTGATAGCTTCATAACAGCTGATTGTGTCCATAGATTTCCTTATTTTTCGGATGAAGGTCCTGTACTTTTCGCATCAATTGAAGATATAAATTTTGCAGGATTCAACATTTTTAAGAACTATCCTTTGGATAGCGTGAAGCATTGGATCCCACACAAAGAACTCCAAAATGCGAGAGGTTTCTGACTTGACTGGACCAGTATCAGGTGGGGGACCTCCTGTGAAGCTCCATCAAGTGAATCTCAATCACGTACTGCTCGGTTTGAGGTTTGAATGCTTGATCATGTGCACTTTGAAATTATATGGTTATTCGTTCATGAATTCCTTTTAGCTTATTTTTTACGTTTTGGATGAAGTTTCTGTAGTATTTGCATCAATTGAAGTTAGAAGTTTTGCAGGAATCGGCATTTTAAAGAAGTATCTGTTGGACAACGTGAAGCATTGGATCCCACACAAAGAACTCCAAAATGCGCAAGGGTTTGTCTTGAACGGACCAGTACCAGGTGGGAGACCTCCTGGGAAGCTCCATCAAGCAAGCCTCAATCACGTACTGTTCAGTTAGAATTGAATGCTTGTTCACTTATATTTTGAAACTATGGTTATTGGTTCCTGAATTCGTTTAGCTTATTCTTTACAGAGGCCATACGTTTGTTTGGTGGATGATTGTCGTTCCAGCTTTAGAAGAAAGGACCACTTAAATCGTCATCTTCTTCAGCACCAAGGGAAACTCTTTAAGTGTCCGATTGAGAACTGTAATCGTGGGTTTGTTTCCCAAGGTAACATGAGGAGGCATGTAAGAGAACTCCACAATGAGGATGATCCTTCGGCTTATGTTGGGGGTCAGAAGCAGCATGTATGCCAGGATTGTGGAAAGGTGTTCAAATTTGCTTCAAAGCTGCAGAAGCATGAGAATTCTCATGGTATCTTTCATTTCTGAATTTGATCTTCTTTTTGTATTCTGCCTTGTGTGTGCGCGTCAGTGGTGAATAATGGTGTAAGATACAAATTTTTCTGAAAATGAGGGGATGTGCTTTTGTTGAAGTTTTTGGCGTATGCTTAATGCAAACTCTAAATATATCCTTTTATGTGTGTAGTTAAGCTGGATTCAGTGGAGGCATTCTGCTCTGAACCTGGCTGTATGAAATATTTTTCTAATCAGAAATGCCTTAAGGCCCATATTCAGTCCTGCCACCAACATATCACCTGTGAGATATGTGGGACCAAGAAGCTGAAAAGGAACATAGAACGGCATCTCTGCATGCATGAAGGGGGGCGTGCTTCAGTGGAGAGAATTAAATGCAGTTATAAGGGTTGTCTTCACACATTTTCAACTGTGAGTTACTGACTTGACTTTTAATGGGTTTATGTACACACATAAAGAACAAACAGATTTCATTATTTTGGAAAGAAAAAAAATAGTTTTGCACTCATTGCGTTGCCATTGTTAGTTTTTTTATTGTTTCCATTTCTGATTTTGCTTATACATTTGCAGAAATCAAATCTCCATCAACATGTCAAGGCAGTACACCTTGAACATAAACCTTTTGTCTGTAGCTTTTCGGGTTGTGGCATGAGATTCGCATACAAGCATGTGAGAGATAAGCATGAGAAGACTGGACGTCATGTCTATGCATATGTGAGTATTATTCTTA